AACACCAAAGGATTATTTAAATCAGAACATACAGCACTGACTGGACTGTTAGAACACCAAAGGATTATTTAAATCACAACATACAGCACTGACTGGACTGTTAGAACACCAAAGGATTACTTAAATCACAACAGTGTTTCTTTTTAAACAACAACAACTAAGTTACTTGGTATATAACATATTTTTCAATTGTCCAGTAAAACATCTGTGTCTAGGTACGCCACTTTTCTTTAAGTGTAGGGTTAATAACAGCATGTGAACTTATTAACTGTTTATGAATGAGTATCAAGATTCGGCATGTCATGTTATTACGTAGATCAACAACAAAAGCTTCACCACGTTTTCGATAGAAGTTCTAGTACATACCGGTTCAACACTGAGCTCCGCAAGGTTAGGTGTAAAAGGTTATAGGGCGACTCGTAGCAATCCTTTGAGGGGGTTTACTATAAGATATCCCAGTATAAAACTTGTGCTTTGTTCCAGGTTAATATATTCTGGAACTTCCATTTCTTGAAGAGATCTACCTATAAGCTCATACCTTCCACCTTAAAGATACTAAGCACATTTATGGGATAAGTTTTTAAATGCCAAAGAGCGATTGAACGTGAAGAAGAGTGTATAATAATATATCTGCTATTTTCAGTGCTGACGACGAAACTTTTCGCCCGGAACCAACTAGGGCTCAGCAGGCCGGCTCTGATGTGGCAGACGTAGTAGTGGTGTAAGGACTTGTTATATTAGCATATCGCTCGAGAAGAAGTGTTACTGTGTAATCTGAATTAAGTGTAATTTATGTCACTGTATAAAGTAATAGATATTAGTGCTTGTTTCCTACCAAAATTAGACAGTAGTAACAAAGTAGTCACGTTCTTATAATCACATGAAACGACAGTTAGTTATTAAACATTGGATATCTTTTACATGCTGGTCATTATTGGTATTTAAAGGATAGTCACATCGAATAACAATAGTCGAAAATATTGTAAACAAACTATTAACAGTAAAATTTTCAAGTATAAACATTTCAAGAACCCCCAGATGTCGCCCTAAATTGAGGTACTGAAACCAAAACGATGTTTTATCAAAGTTTGACAATTTGTGTGTGAGAGGTGAAACAGTTGGATATGTATAAATGATACAACACGTGTCTTGGTTTTAAAAAAAACGAAGAAAAAGTGAAACTACGCCATAGGATTGCCATAATATTTGAATAATATGAATTAATATTTTAAAGCTAATAACGCAGATGGTGGAATTTAAGGAAATTCTAAAACGTCCGTATTAAATATATGTTTAATATTTATTATAATCATTATGTTCATATTTCTGATCTCGAACTTGAGTAAATAAATTGTTTAATTAAAGATTTTTGTTTTATCTTTTAAGAAGATGGAGACACGGTATCATAATTCTTATAACATTTTATAGATAACTTGTATTTTTCGAGTGAATTAGAGCTGAAAATAATCAAAGTTCCTACCAGTTTAAGCAGGATCGCCAAGAAAAGGGGGGATAGTTACTTCGTAGCCCGTAAAAACTGGCTAGCCCTCGAAATGATCACCATAGTACCAAGAGGACATATCATGTTTGGGGACCGCACTTTAAATGTACCCTGGGGCCCGTCTCGGCTCTCTGCCATTAAGTTATGCGTTTTCTGAATTCTGGGAAAGTGAAACAGAACAATCAGGTGAGTTAAATATAATACCGTAGATAGTAAAATCTAGCCTAACGAGTTAGATATAATACTGTAGATAGTACAATCTAGCCTAACGAGTTAAATATAATACCGTAGATAGTACAATCTAGCCTAACGAGTTAGATATAATACCGTAGATAGTACAATCTAGCCTAACGAGTTAGAT